ACTGCTACCCCTCTGTCCTTTATGTCCTTTGCGTTCCACCCCCTCCCCCACGAGCCCTTTCCGCACCCGCGTATCCTCAGAAAAACCAACAGGAGGGTATCTCCTCCTTCCCACTCATCACCCTCTTCCACCTCTCTCCTACGTGTCACTCCACATAACCACTCATCCACCAACCATGCCCTTCCTGTGCCTTCGACTCCGCGCCCGAAATCTCGCACATGCCCTCCCTCCCCCTTCTCACCACCAAACCATCCCCAGCACCAGCGCATTCGCATTTGTGGGGCAAGCAGACTCGAAGAAATCGTTTGCAAATCGTGTAGCAGACCCGGTAGGGGCGAACCGAGTTTTAGTAATCGCCAAGCAGCTCGAGTGCTAGCAAATGCCAACAGTAATCACCAGCTGGCAAGGCTGTTAATAGTCCTCACTTTTTGCAAGCAGGATGATGGTGCATTTGACTCCCTGGCATACGCCAGTACTAATTTACCATCAAAACGAGCCGTAGAGGGACTGGATGTCCCACCGGCAGAGTCGAACCCTCAACCTACTGCACGAAAATAGCACTATTTCACTGCATCATGCTTGCTGGCGTCATGTATAATTCGAAAAAATTCGATAACGAAATGAAAACTCGCCAGCAAGCACGAGCAGCTTCAGTGTTCCGCAGTCAGACTATGATCAGTATATCCTTTGCAAGATGAATGGTATCTAAAATCGAAATAAAATACTGTAATTTTATTGATAACCAGTCAAAAGAGGAAACTGTTTTGCAGTAAATATCCATTTATCAATAATGTGGCCATAGCTACATGCGATGTAGAATGTAGAACTAAGCCCTTTGTTCACCACGAATATTTCTCATATAAGCAGCATATAAACACTCTGCAAAAAGCGTATAAAAATTAAAAATTTCAGAACATTACCAGTGGCACTGAGCACAAACGAGAGCAGAAAAACCAGATAAATTCAAGACTAAACCAAATGAAAATGTACAGATGCAGGAACAGGAAATCTTTGTGAAGCACCTATCATCTACCAAACAAATACATCCCATTTTCGACGTCTTCCATTCAGATTTACACCTCATTTCTCGAATACGACACCTTCTGGCATCTTCAGACCTGTTTACTCATTTTTAACACAAAGCAGTACCTCGTGTTTGTTTAGCTAAATTCCGCGTTCCTCTAGTTCGGTAGAATACCGAGCACCCAAATTTCACGCCTGTCTGGACTATTCGTTTCCCTTCTTAAAAGGACAACATAATGTACAAGAAATGTAAAAAAAAACAAGGGATGTCGGAAAGTTGCATCTATATTCTAATGAAGGAATAAGGGTAGCATCTGCAGAAGCTATAAAAGCTATGTCTGCCTTACAGCTGTCTCTTCATTTAAGCCAACTTTTTATGTCGAAGGGAATTTATAAATAAAAATGTCAGCTATTGCTACTTTCTCTAAAATCTTCGTGAATATAGGGCAGCTATAAGGGAATGATACTCATGGTTCGAAGGACTGCTTGGATTTGAATGCCATATCACCAGAGGGACTTACAACCGTCTGATGAGTTAAAAACCGGCTATATTTATCTATTCGTATGCAGCGGCACTGCGACTAACGAAATATGATTATTTCACACAACAGACTGTAAAACGGAAGGATAGTAAACAGCAGCCACATTAACAATAAGACGCAAGTCAGAATAATCACAGCCAACAACACTAACGACACGATCAGCAGTGATAGTAGCGGGCGTAACCTGTGTTCTGCCTTTGACGCTGCTCGTGCTACCGCCTAGTAGTTCAACCAATGACAGTGATCGCGCCAGAATATCGCTTAAACAATCCTCGATGAACGATAACAAAAAAGCTGGCGCAGCGCCCAGTCGATACAAATCACCAAACTGCTCCAGCATCGTTACCACTGCATCACACGGTGAAGTCATTTGACTTTCATCGACTGTGGTATCGTCCCCAGATATTACCTCCAATACGAAACATTTATTCAACTTCAGCTCTGATCTGCAGTCACGGGCCAAATCAAAATACGAGGTGTGACACTTTTTTGCGCGCAAATTTTAAGATACTTCCTCGTCACAGGCAATTACATAACTAGAGAAACCAGATTATCTTCTTCACTTCACAGTCCTCAACATAAGGTAAATTTGTCTGGAATAAAAGATAAAGCCAGATTACAGAATTGAAGAAATATGCTAGGATTAATACTGTATTACCGACAAATTTTTGAATACAGAAATTAACGAGCAGTTACCTCCTCTCATCTACAAAGAAAGAGTACCTTGACAGTGAAATTCGATGCGTCAGCAAGCACAACAACTGTTGGGCTGAATGTCGCCGAATCAGATGTGGTTGATGAAGCTGACGATTCCGGGGATGAAGCACTAAGAAGTTCTGCCTCACCATTTTTGACATGCCACATCATCGATCCATAGGTCTAAAAGC